TTTTATTTTATTACCGTAAATAGCTCATCTACCCTCAACTAATTTTTTATTAGAATAAAGATATATATGATGCACTTTATAAAGTATATCAAATATTCTGGATGATAGGAAAATTAACTCTTACTGCCAATTCTTTTATTAATTCAGTTATTTAGAAAGTTTAATCAGTGATTAAATGTGAGAAAACATCTAATCATTTATTGTTTTTAGAAAATAAGCAATTTTCAAAAAGAATCTAACTCTTAATTCAGGATTGTAGATTTTTGGAGAACTAGAATCTTTAACATTTAATAAAGTCGACTGATTACAATTATATTAAATGATGACAAAGAAGATTTATAATGGGAGAGACTGAACTGTAACAACTTAAATATTTATGATATATTTGAGAATAAATGTAATGAGGTATCTTAATGTAGCTTAAGCAGTGTCTATTTGAAATCTATAAATATAAAGAAACCCTTTTATGAAATATGAGATGTTTAAGATAGAATTTAGCCTAACTTGCAGTCGTTGAGGATATCATAAATTTGAATTTATTAGAAAACTGTGGATAGTGTGTACTTAAATTTAATTAGACATAGCTTGGGAATTATCGTAGGTGAACAATATAAGATTAGTAAAAGAGAAACTCTTTTAATAAGTATAAGGAATGACTAGTAAGATTATAGAGAAAATAATAATGGAATTTTTTTAATTGTAAGACAAAGACTTAAAGGAAAAACTAATTTATGGGATGCATTTTAAGAAATGGAAAAACTCAAAAATCCCTTAGGAAACTGAAAAGTGATTTATTTTCTTTTGGTAAAATCTAGTGAAGAAAGAGAATCAGGATTAGGTTGTTCTTTGAGGCGAAATTTGTCTGAAGTTGTGTAAATTCCCCACTGATAAATTGAAAAATTTAGCAGAAGAAATAAGGACATCAATAAGGAAGCAAAATATTTTTAGTTGATTAATGTGGAGAATATGAAAATTAGACTAGGAGATTTTAAGTCGGAGAAGAGAATTAATAAATTGAATTTTTAAGAAAGTTAATATAATAAAGATAAGGAGAATTTCAGATTATAGTTACTTTGATAGGATGGAGAAAATGTAGATAGTATAGCTTCCTAAAATTTTCTTGTTCTTCTTATAATCTGCATCATTTTTCCAAAACTTAAACAGTTATAGAATTATATAAATATATCAGGTCTTGATAAAGATCGTGGCAGAATTTTTCCCTCTCTCTTTCTGATAATATTCTAAGCCTGTATTTAATTTCAATATTACTTGATTCGTTTGCACTATTTATTCATCTGTTTACATAGATATCTAGAACCTATAATTCAATTTAAATCTTCATTAGAAATAAAGATTGAAATTGAAAGAGAAACCTGAAAATAAAAAAAAATTTCCATCTTTTGAAAAGGGAATGAATATTGATTTAAAAATGGATAATTAAAGTTCGACGATGTAAAGATTTTAGAAAAAGAGTTAATGATATAAGTTTATTAATTTTTTTTAATCTCAGGCTACTAATGAGTTTATCTATTATTAGATAAAAGAAATATCAGTTATTGAGGCTTATAAAATCCATCATTTTTGAAAAAGCACTATGAAGATTATAGTTAATTTAAAGCAAAGCTTTAAAGGTAAACTTTAAGTCAGGTTGAAATTAAATTGTTGCCTAAGCTAAACTTGAAGAAATTATCAACAGTAATTTCTATTTTAAGGTTTTTATTCATTTTGTAAAAAAATTAAAAAATCTAGACTCGATAAATTTATTTATTCAAAATCAGAAAAAAGAATAAGTATATTTATTTTAAAGATTTGACTTACAGTTGACAACTATTTGATTTGCTGATAAATCTTTGTTTAAATCAAAATATTGTTTGCCTTTTAGAAAAATTAATATAATTTACAAAATAAAGAGTTTATTCTAATAATCATTTTCCTAATGTTGACTAGTTTTCATTGATTATCAATCACTCTAATAGGAAATTTAAAGATAAATTATTCAAGAAAGCAAGATTCTATAGATATAGGTCTTAAGCTTGAATTAGGGATTTGAGCCTCCACTCTTATAAAATAGTAATTTATTAATTTTTATAGTTCATATTTTACTTGGATTTCACATTTACAATTTTCGATTAAAAAACTTAGAGAATAGAATTGAAATAAGTAATTTACTTTTATTCAAGAGTTTAAGCTGATTTAAGAGGAAAAGCATCTCCATAAAAAAATAATCCTTCCATACTAATTCTTTAAAATAATATTCCAATATCCTCTTTATTCTATAATGCTCTCTTCTAATATTTTAAAGTTTTAAACTCTTCAAAGTTTCATGATTCATCTTCATCTATCATTATTTCAGAGGATCTAATTTTATTTTTTTTCAATTCAATAAGACTATTATTTTTATGTAAAATTGATATATGATAAGCTAAATAAACAACAAGCATTCTTGGATTAAAACAAATTGAATAAGAATTAGAGCAAAATTTTTTTGCACAAGAGTGAAAGCGTTTATTTTGTAATTAATTTTCAGAATAAAAGTAAAATCAATATGATACATGAATTTATTTTACTTTCAAAAAAATCTGGATTTAAACTTTTTAAAAACCTTTATATCATTATTAATATAATTATTACTCATTCAAAGTATTGGAGTGGTTTAAGATTAGTAGTACTTTTTTACATCTCTCCTGAAACTTCTCTTTTCTAAAAATCACTTAAACTTTCGTCAAATATCTTTTAGAATTGTATATATATACATTAGAAAAAACTTTGTATAAATTTAAAATTGTATTCCAAATTATTTGGGATAGATATTTATACATAACATTTTCTTAATTTAAATTTATCTCTACACCTTATTAGTAATTTCTAAAATTTAGAATAAAAATTCCTTATTCAATTTATTATGATTGGAATTGATTGAAAATATTTAATTATTTCTATTATTAGTAAAATGATCCACAAAGGAAGACTATCCAAATTTAAGTTGTTGAACAGAATTAGATATCTTCCCTTAAAAGTTTTTCGAATAAAAATGACATATAGATTTAATATAGGATCAATTAATTATTTTTTGTAATCTCATTCTTCTTAGACTTTTTCATTGCTATATCTTATTCACCAATTTTTTTATTTAGTTCTTAAACCTATTACTATGTTCTGATTTATAATTCATTTAATTTTTAGGTATAATTATTTAATTCTTCTTTTAACTTTTTCTTAGTCTTGTAATCTTTTTCTATGGTGCTCACCATTTATTAATCTAATTAATTAACAAAAATTATACTTTCTTATTATGATTTTTAATAAACTTGCTTCAATATTTCTAACTAATTTTTAATTTAAAGAAACGAAAAAAAGGGAGAATCTGAAAAAACCCATTAGAATTTTAATTATAGAGCTATGCACATAAACAGAATGATTTCATTTTTTGAAATTCCTAATTTCAAATATAATCATACTGTATCAAATTCAAAATAAAACTTATGGATCTTCATAATACTTAATAACTACAATATTTTAAATGATTTTGAAATGCATTTTAAATAAGAACTACAATTTATCATATAATCAATTTATAATAAGTTGATTACATTATTAACATTATTGTATTTCAAAATTTTTTTGATAATCAATTTAACTTTTTTAAAGAAAAACTTGTTTATTCTAAATAGTTATAAGAACAAATTGATAATGAATATCTTTATTCGAATGTTTAGATAAGATGATAGGATTTTTCATTAGATTTAAAATACCCAGTTGATAATACTCTTTTAATAGAAGCTGGTCAGAATCCTTGCAAAAAATTGGATAGAAAATTTGTAAATTCTAAATTAGATTTTATGTTAATACTACAAAAAAAGTCAAAATTTAAAGGTTTCANAGTGGTTTAAGATTAGTAGTACTTTTTTACATCTCTCCTGAAACTTCTCTTTTCTAAAAATCACTTAAACTTTCGTCAAATATCTTTTAGAATTGTATATATATACATTAGAAAAAACTTTGTATAAATTTAAAATTGTATTCCAAATTATTTGGGATAAATATTTATACATAAAATTTTCTTAATTTAAATTATTTCTACACCTTATTAGTAATTTCTAAAATTTAGAATAAAAATTCCTTATTCAAAATATTGTGATTGGAATTGATGGAAAATATTTACCGGATCTTAATTATTTCTTTTATTAGTAAACTGATCCACAAAGAAAGCCAAAGAGACAAACATCTAAATTTAAGTTGTTCAATATGATTAAATATTTTTACCTTAAAAGTTTTCTAATAAAAATGTCATCAACTATAGATTTAGTTGTGGAGCAAACATTAATTTTTTGTTATCTAATTCTTTTTGGATTTGGTTCATTGCTATATCTTATTAGCCTATTTTTTTATTTAATTCTTAAATCTATTACTATGTTTTGATTTATAATTCATTAATTTTTTAGGTATAATTATTTAATTCTTCTTTTAACTTTTTCTTTAATAATTCATTATCGTTTTCTGAATTAGTTAATTTGATTGTTGTATCTTTTTCAATTTCTTTAAGCTTATCGATTATCACATTCTAATCTTTAATCTTAGTCTTGTAATCTTTTTCTATGGTGCTCACCATTTATTAATCTAATTTATTAATAAAAATTATACTTTCTTATTATGATTTTTAATAATCTTACTGCAATTTTTCTAACTAATTTTCTAACTTTTCAATTTCACAAAATTTCTTTAATTATTTAAAATCATTTTCAAATTTATTAGTATAATCTTAAACTTACTTTTCAAGGTTTTTCAGATTCAAATGATCTGGAAGAGATTTAAATTTATTGTTAATAATATTCATTTTAGTAAGGTGTTGCTAATATTTTTGTATAGTTTGATTAAATAAGCCAACCTAACAATATAGTTACTTTGAAGAATTTATCAATTCGTCTAACTCTTGTTTTACTATCATTTATTCTTAGTTTACTTTTGTGTTTTCTTAAAGTTATGATGATAATAAAACAATCCCTTGGATTTGACTATCATCTAAAAGAATATGAATTTTTAATACTTGAGATATCTTGTAAAATATTAATTGATTCTTAAATGTCTAATTAATCATGCTATTTTAAGTGTTCCAATCTGCTTTCAATCTCTTTTGAAAATAAAGAATCTTTAGATTTCGCATACTCAATTTTGGAATCTTATCCCAAATTTTCTTTATCATACTGAATCAAATAATTAATATTTTAAAACAATTCTTCTTAGCTTAATCCTTGAATAGATGTTTATTTAAATTTACCAATCTCACTTGTTTTATTTATTGGGCGAGAAAATTCTGTGATTAATTTTTCACTAATTTCATTTAGTTATTGGTTGTAATTCTTTCTCATAATTGCAATTTATTGATTCAATTTTTCTTATTTTTCTTATCGCTTTAATTTTAATTCATTTAAAATTCGATCTTATTGGTTTTTTGTATGATTCCATTCTTAATTTACTTTTTGAATCGTTCTATATTTACATTTGGGGTGATCTTCAATACAATCAACGCACACAAATCTATCTTCCATTTTTTTATTCTTATCATCCATGTCTATCATAATGACTTCTTTATTATGAGTAGGGCATACTCTATTTAAACTTGGTGTTTTCTAAAAAATTAATTACCATTTTACTTAATTATTTTTATTTTGCAGAGGGATAATTTCAATTTTGATATTTTCATTTATTTCATTAATTTTCTATTTAGCATCCTTAAATATGTCAATAGTTTAAAAGTACGAAGCGTTATTAAATAAGAGCTCAAATTATTAAAAAATTTAATCAATAAATTAACTATCTTATTAAAATTCCATTTAATTATCTTAAGAATCTGTTGAAAGAAATTGAGATAATGATTTAACATCTTCTTGGAAATTGTGCAATATTTAACAATTTTCTAATAATGATTCTTTTTCTTTTTAAATTGTAAAGATTTGGGCTTTGATTTGACTATAGATCTTTTCTAAAGTATTTTCAACATTACATTTGTATTCCATGATTTAATCAAGTATTTTTTTGAAGTAATCCAACCTTTGTTGAATCTATTTTGTCTTATTTTCTTATTTTTAGGTCTTAAAAGATTAAATTCTTTCTTTTGTCTAATCAATAGTTGAAATTTTGTTATTGTTAATTTTCTCTACTAAGCAATTACAGCACATATATTATAATTAACCTTTTTCTGATGTGTCCAAATCTAGAGCAACTATCTCACGTTTATGAATTTGGCAAACCATTTCTAGAATCTCAGGCTTTTGTTATTATATTTATGATGTTAAAATATTCATTTGTTTATGATTTTATTAATAGGATATTATCCATTCTAGCATGAACGAAATAAATAATCAAATTCTATTAAATTAAATTTTAATTGTGGTAATAATTAATTTACAGTGAATAACAGATATTATATTAAAAATAATAAAAAAAATCATCAAGTATTAAATCGAAATAGATCTATTAGCAAAGCAAAAATGTATAAGAGATGTTAATAAAATACCAGTCAATAAAATGTGAAAGATAATTTCTTTATTGAGAAGAATATTTAACACAATAGCAAAAAGTTAAAATTATCTAATGATATTCTAGAATGAATTAAGTCGAATCAATTTAATAGAAATTTTGAAAAAGAATAGTGTACTTAGAGCATTAATGAAAACAAAGATATGTAATTAGATTGATGATGATGCATAAGAATAGAAGTGTAAGTGTAAATGTAAAGATAGAATCTTAAGATGGAAGCAGAGAAATAAATTGTTATAAATTATTTAACATGAAACAATGTTAAAAATGGACTATTATTGAAAGTTTAGTTTAATAATTTTACACAATTAGATGAAAATTATTCATAAAAAACTATTTAATAAAAAAAAGTTAATGATTATGAAATATTTCCTAGATTTGAAATGCCTTACATAAATAAAAGAGCGTGAAATTTAAGTTTAAGATGTTTTTCGTTGAGTTGCTATTATATTATTTATAATAATCTACAATTAATACCTTCCTTTCTTTGACTAATTTTAAGGTATTAATATTAGAATATATTTAAATTCTAAAGTACAGGATATGCAATAAAATAATTATTGCCATGAAAACAGAAGTATGATATAAATTTTCAAAAGCTCGATAAATATAAAATAAGGTTATTAATTAAAAAGAAAATTTTCAAAAGATTCAAAATAATTTAAGGAAGAAAATAATGCCTAAAGTCGAGAAAAAAATAGTTTACAATAATTAATAATAAATTGTTTCTCAATATTTCATTAATTTTTCTTACAATCCAATCAACAAAAATCTTGTCTTCTTTTTCTCACTAATTTTATTTTTAAAAGGTAAAACTTCATAGCTGTTCTAATGAGTATGAAATCAACTTTTGTAATCAAAGTTTCTTTTTTAAAGGTAACTGATAAGTTTTATTGATCTATTAAAGATGTTCATAAATTATGGAGTGAATTTATTAATTGATATAGGTCTTTAGATTTTGTTTAGTTAATGATTCTTGAATGTCTTTTTTTTAATTATCAAAGATTATTGCTTATTGCTCTAAAAATGCTAGATATTACATTAATTTAGAAATTCTTATTACATATCGTCTTTGTGCTTACATTCTAATTCAGTATTCATTTTCAATTCAATGAAACCAGACCAAAAATTTTATTCTGTATTATTTTTTTTGACCCTAAAAAGAATCGAAGAAAGTTAAAAATTATATACAGCCTGCATTGATGTTACAATAACTTATTGATATTTTCATTTCATATCAATTACTGAGAGTTAGACTGATACAATTAAATTATAAGGATCTATTGTTCTTGTTTATCAAAGTTAAAAAATGATTTTCAAGCTCATATCTTTAATTGAGTTCTTAATGTCCTCCACCAATAATGAGAAGTAAACAATCTAATTAATTGTCTTTTAGGATTGGTTTGATTAAATAATTCGAGTACTCATCTTATTTTTTTATCATCAGATGAATTTCCCTCAGTATACATTTATCCAATTATAAGTTTTGTAAAATAATAGTTTATTATAGCTTGACACTTAATCACTAAATATTAATTAGGAAATTAGTTGAATTTATCGATATTTTTGGGTTAAATTCCAAAACAGATTCTAGATTGCTTCAAAATTATTTATTAAATTTTCAAAAGATAAAGGCTAAATATGTTGTCAATCTAAAAGCAATAAACTTATTTGTGGGTAAACTGATGATCTGACTTTATGCTCTTCAAAGTTATAAATATTTGATAAAATTGATCTTGAGATCAACTAATTAAGTGTTAATAATAATAGGCTAAACTATTTTGATAATTTTAAATTTATTTAT